AACACCTTGTGTCAGTTTCCCTGCAGATCAGATGCTAAACATTGTAAATATAGGGTTCAAGAGTTTTTCTGGAAAAAAATTGCTAATTTCAGAATATTTGTAAAGGATATAGTTTGCATTTTCTCCTTATAAAATTTCATGGCTGAAACGAATGATAAATTAACCTGTGATACCGATTTTACTAGACCGGAGATCTAGAATATACTGGAAAATAGATATGATCCAAGTTGAAAGCTAGTTGCATTTCAGAATACTTTGAGAGTTCTTTGAAACTACTTCATACATACCATCAAGTAGCTTGTTATTCTCTAAACATTTAAAAATGTGAGCAAATGGGTGTTTTATATATATACTAGCAGAAACTCAAGAATGACAAAATAATATCCAATGTGAAGATTTAGTAAGAATTACAAACAAAATATATTTAAGCGCAACTTTTTAAAATATAGATAATTGTTTTATCATTGCTCAGGTAAAGAGGATTTACCAGTTCTTATCCAGGATTAAAACACAAGTTACGTCTACCGAGATTAAAGAAGCAACTTCATTCCTTCATTCCTCTTTAGTAGTTTGCCACTGTCATTCTCACAAAGACAAAATTAGTCATTAATTATTCCTGACCCCCACATATTTCGATTTCTCTTTATTCCCATAGGAAAGATAATTTCCTCTTTATTCCCCTATTTCTAACCAAAAACTGACCTACTGTTAATAATTTAAATATCTGTGTTGGTTATTTTGTTTGATAAAGAGGTTACAATTGTTCCCCCTCCCTGCCCCGTATCTTGTATCCTTTAATTCTTACCTCACGAACACTGTTTCATGAACTCGTTAAAGGAGAACATTTCTGTTTCTGACCTCACAGAGGCTCTGGATTTTGATTGGGTCCTATTGTTCAGAGCCCTCTCCCTGCTACCCTGCTATCTTCACGTTGCCCCTGACAAACTCCACAGTGGGTGGGTAAATCTAAAGTTCTTTTCGGGATGCATCAGCCCTTTGTGTAAATACTTCATCCTCTGTTGATTTCTGGTAACTTGGCTTAGGAGACATGGCTCAAAAGTTTCCAGGAATTTCAATCTCTTTCTCTTTCTCTCTCTCTTCTCTCCCTCCTCTCTCCACCACACCCTCTCCAGTCAAAATCCCTGGGAGATATATACATATATATA